CCCCCCCCCCCCCCCCCCCCCCCCCCCCCCCCGCTTTTATTATCCCAAAAATCAGAATTCTTTGCACTAGTATTATTATGTCTCTTATTTTTTCCCGGTCCCCCCCCCCCATATCAATACGCCTTTACTTATCATATCCACTCTACTTTTCAGCGCCTTGCGTTGCAACAGTATAATTATTGAGAATCAGTGAACGAGGATTCAGCTAGACTTGCCAAGCGCAGCCGGTGCTCGGCATCGACAAGACCGTTATCTTGTCGCGCATTCTCAAGAATGTGCGCTCAATCTGGAAGAGTTATTTTTGCCAAGATTGAGCAAGGATCCAGTTGCACATTCTCAAGAATGTGCATGCCCATTCTCGAGAATGCGTGATTTTCAAGAATGGGCACAACATCGATTCATGATTCATTTTTGATTGGCTATTTATTTTCTGTACACTTTACGGAGACTTAGTAGCTGTTTTATTAATTAAAATAAATGCAGTAGCCTAGCTATCATTCCTTCCTTTTAAATAGTGCAAACGTCTACGAAAAAAAGTTGATGAGAAGAGCATGGAGGCTATTCCTTCCTCCATGAGAAGAGCAACGCCAACACGCTTCATTTCATGATTATTTCACTTGACCATCTGGTTACCTGACCTGACATGCCAGAGTGACAATATTCAGCGTCAGGATCTGTTGCTCGTGGAACTAAAGTATCAGCCGAATGGTTCTTTGACTTTATTTCCCTTGTAAAAAAATTCCTCCAAAGCCACAGATTACAAAGAAGAAAATGAAATCTAGGTCTAGATTGCAGGTCAAGTCGCCCCCTGGCCGACTCGCCTCTTACCGACTCGCCCCTTACCGACTCGCCCCCTGACCGACTCGCCCCCTGACCGACTCGCCCCTTACAAGCTCGCCCCCTGCCTGACTCGCCCCCTAGCCGACTCGCCCCCTGACCGACTCGCCTCCTGACCGACTCGCCCCCTGGAAAATTATGCACCGTACGAGGACATCGTGAAATAAAAATAAAGACAGTGTCGGGGAACACGTTTCCCGGTCGCAACGTGGCCAACGTGAAACTTAATGAAGCCAAATTATTCAAACGCCAGTATGAAGGATTTCCGATACAAATGCAAAAAAACTATTGATCCTTTTATGAAGAATTTGGTTTGGAAACACTTAGCACAGCTTTACCGATATAGCGCAGCGTGATTTTTCGCCGAGTGCCCGTGGCATAGGGCCCGTGGGGCCTGTGCGTGTAGCGTTCATGGTGACTGCCGGCGCACGGCAGGCCGGCCGCCGGGGGTGCCGGCGCGCGGCAGGTTTACCCGCGTTCCTCGTTTGTCAATGACATTAAATCTCGACTCTGGGTCCTCAGTTTCATTAAAAAATATTTTCAGAATGAATGATGTATATTTGAAAAATCAAATCGTCCTGCTGCATTAAACAAGAATAACATATTAAGTAAATGCAAACTTTTAGAAAACCTTTTTCTTTGCGAAAAGAAATTTTTTATGCACGTCCAAATAAAAGTCTTTGAGGTGACTAAGCGAATGGAGTTAACGAATTTAGGGAGTTGATCCAGATATCGGATTTCCCCGAGCTTTATGTGGAGGGCAAGGCATTTTTGTTTGAATTGTTGTTATTTACCTTGGGCCAGCCTTAAAGCCATAGTCCATCATTTGCAGCTATCCAAAAAGTAACTGACGTAATAATTGTTGAAAAACAGGTTGAAGGATAATAAGGGGACTAAACTCCCTGTGAAATTATTCTCCTCCCTTGAAATGCAAAACTGCCCCTCAAAAAGATGCCCCGCTCGCATTAAGAAGATTGTTTGACCTTTGCGACCGGGCAAACGGTGTTCCCCGACACTGTCTTTAATTTTTTTTTCACGATGTCCCCGTACGGTGCATAATTTTCCAGGGGGCGAGTCGGTCAGGAGGCGAGTCGGTCAGGGGCGAGTCGGCTAGGGGGCGAGTCAGGCAGGGGGCGAGCTTGTAAGGGGCGAGTCGGTCAGGGGGCGAGTCGGTCAGGGGGCGTGTCGGTAAGGGGCGAGTCGGTAAGGGGCGAGTCGGCCAGGGGGCGAGTTGACCTGACACAGGTCTAGTATGTCGAGGCCCACTTGTGTGGCCTTGCCCTCACGGTATTGCTGCGCTCATATATCCAGTGTGTTAAGAAATGAATTGATTGTCTGGTAACTTCCATCTTATTTTGATGGGTTGGTCATACAATTTATGTGAATATAATTAAGGGTTTTTTAAATCAATTTATATCATTATGTGGACTTTAAGTGATAAAAACGATGGTAACAGGTCATCTCGTACCTTGGGCAACTCGTACCTTGGACAACTCGTACCTTCAACTCGACGTCATTATACCGAGTCGTACCTTGGACAACTCGTACCTTCGGCAAGTCGTACCTTCAGTTAAGACGACTTGTACCATCACGCATAAGTCAAGTCGTACCGTCAATCAGGATAATGATCCGAGGCTGAATAAAGTGGACCGTAACTCATTGAAAGTGGACTGCTTATTAAAAAAAAGGTGAATCTCTTTTTGGTATGGGCTCTTTTTTCCCCCAAAAAAGAGGAATTTATTTAGCGCGAAGCCGGCCGCGGCAGCTTACTGTGTGCGCGGCATGCACAGGCCCACGCGGCATCCGTGCAAAGTGACACGGTTCTTGCGCCGCGCTGACCGGTCAATATGGACGTCTGTGCACGGTGACATTGATGCAGTCTGCCGTTACGTTTAGAGACTTAGGCTACGTGAAAATATTATGGAACTGATGTTTTTATCCAAGATTCACGTCTTACCATTATTTTTGCAATGAATGACCATCATTGAGATGATATATATATATATGAAGAAAAAAGTGGCGTCAGGTTGCAACATTTTTCCTATTATTGATCCCTATAATCGCCTGAACTACTTTTTTTTTTCCCGCAAAAATGATAATACGTGAATCTTGGACTGACAAATATTTCCAATTACACCAAATCCGCATCTGAAGTTTCTCCACTGTAAAATTCAATCTATCTTAACTTATCCATTAAAAACAGAATGGCACTGCCGCGCGCGCCGCCCAGCTCGCAGGCCAGCCGCTTCCGAGTCACCGGCATCGGTACCGCGCACGACCGACCGCTGCTCGCGCCCTCGGAGGCCGGGCCCGCCAGGCCCAATGCGGAAAATCATGCTGCCTGGCAAAGCCATTAGATCTTGAATGTGGTTCTGTGAGATAGAAATTAACTTTGACTTGAAAAGAATCATATCGTTTCGGAGTCAAGGAACCACACACTAAGTCACGCACGTACAGTGTACTCTACTTTTTATTCTGATGGTACGAGTCGTCTTAATTGAAGGTACGAGTTGTCCAAGGTACGAGTTATCCAAGGTACGAGATGTCCAAGGTACGAGTTGTCCAAGGTACGAGTTGTCCAAGGTACGAGTCGCCCAAGGTACGAGTTGACTCGAAAGCAAAACGGCAATAGTGCTTCCATTCTGGATTGATGGTTGCATTCATTGCTTGAATCTCTGAACACTTCCTAAAATGTAGTCTCTTACCAAGTTACTGGTGTCCCCGTTTATTGTGGTGTACATGTGTGCTGTATGGACTGGCCCCATGTAACATTGATATTTCTAGCAAGAATTAATATACATTCTGAAAATGGCACATTAAAAAAAACTGGTTTCTCCTCACAGCCCGCCTCCTTTCTCCCCCTGCCTCTTTTGTTTTTTCCTCTGTATTTTTTAATTATAGGGCCTATATTTTCAATATATTTTGTCTTTTTATTTGATTCCAGTAAAATTGTAGCTATGTGTGCCAGTTCAAATCTGGTAGAAAGGGTGACGGATCCTTTGGACACAAAAAAGTGGAGAAAATGGAAAAATCCCATCTTGGAAAATCCTCCATCTTGGTGGAGTAAAACAGCCACCTCCATTTTGTCTAAACGCCCAGACGAGAAACTGTTGGGTTTTTAACTTTGCGTAAATATATAAAACCAATGCAGGCATTGTTTGATATGTGGTTGTTTTGTTTCATTTTTCCTTTGCATTAGATACCTGTATCAGGTATTGATAAGGAATTCTGTGGTCACCGAACAGAACAGAGGACTGCTGGTTGAGACAGTCCGGTCCATGTCTGAGATTCTGATATGGGGAGATCAGAATGATAGCTCTGTCTTTGAGTAAGTACCATTTTTTTTTTTTTTTTGCTTAAATACTTTTGCTATTACCAACTTAAATAACAACTTACTGACAAATTTGACATTGTCAACACAGGGCAGTGTTTCAGTGGAGTCCATTGCAAGTCAATCGCACGTGGTTCAAAAAGAAATCACAAGTCATTTTCCAAGTTGGGTCATAAGCAACAGTGGATTAGCAAAATTTACAAAGGACTGCTTTGGTAAAAGGTCATTGGAATAGTTTGTTACATGTCTTGCGATGGACTTGACAGGGCCAGATAAGCTCAGTTAAAAAAGCGTTGGTATGATAGACAGGAGGTCACAGTTTCAAATTTCTCATTTTGTTATTTTAATTCTAAATATGTTTTTTTCTTTTCTTCCGTTAAAAAAAGTTTTAAATTTCCTTTTGATTTATCAAATAGAACGTAAATAATGAAAGTGTAACAGCATGGCTTCTTTAACCCCTTTATAAACAAAAGTTCCTAAAGGTGTCAAATGCGAAGGTCCGGAGCCTAACACTTGCTGGTTTTTGTCCCCCTCCCAGCTTTTTTCTTGAGAAGAACATGCTGCTGTTCTTCTTGAAGATCTTACGTCAGAAGACGGGGCGTTACATCTGTGTACAGCTCCTGCAGACTCTCAACATCTTATTTGAGAACATCAGGAATGAGACCTCTCTCTGTAAGTTTGGATTCCCTGTTTGTGCATTACATGTAGGTCAACAGTCAGAAACCATAACCTCTCACACTCCCCTCCGCGAAAATGTGAATTGACGGAATGTATTCAAGTTAATGGTTATCATTGGATAGGCGTTATGTTTTTTTCAGATAATGTTGTGAATAATCAAACAATATAAAAACAAATTTGTTGATGTGAGGGCTTAACTGTCTTTGTTGCCATAATAATAAGGAGCCGGATGGGAATGTCCCCGTGTTTTTTCGCGGGTTTTTCGCCCCTCCCGTAATCAGCGAATATAATTATAGCAGTATTTTTTCTTGATGTTACAAGATAGATCCAAAGCCTTTGTGTTCACTGAATTCACCTTAATATAGTAAAGCCTGTTAGAGATGTTGTTCCACACTGTTCATGTAGTTATAATAGTTTTACAATATATTGTATTTGTAATGCTTATTAACAATTATGCATTAATCAAATAATGCTTTTATCCCATTGTATTGAATTGTATTGTATTTGTATACATGTTTATAGTCATTTTTGTTGTATGCAGGGCCCCAATGGAAACCAGTTTTAAAGTGTTTGGGCATACCCTGGGTAAAGAAATGTAAGAAATAAATACTGTTATCTATATTTCAGTAGTTTCACAAAGGTAAGTTTTTGAGAAAAACCATTTTGTCCTGTTGTGTGGGGAATTTATTTCCTGGACATCAACGGGGTGCAAGATAAGTACACATAGGAGAAAGGACACCTGGGCTAGATGATTCTTGTGGCTTTAAAGACATCCCCCCCCCCCCCACATCTCCTTATCTGCAAATTCCTTGACGTATGGTTCCTTAAAATGCAATATTTGTGATGCCTTTTCCAAAACATGATCTTCATGTTGATTTTGATTTCCTTTTTGTAAACATTAATTTTGCAGATTATTTGTTGTCCAACAATCACGTGAACTCCATCATTGAGCACAGGTTTGACTTCTCTGATGAAGAGGTGAGTGTTACATTGCATGGATCTGATAAACAATGGACAACATCAGGAAACAATTCAGGAAACTTGCATGATTAAAATAGCCATTGTGTCTGACCCCAGTGAGGTCAATTCAACTTAACACAGACTTTATTGGTCAAAAATATAAAAACGAGTATTCAAAACCCATTGTCTTATTTTAATATTCAAAACCTGAGTGGACTGGAAAAGTTGAAGAAAAAGTCCATGATGTTATTTACACTGTGTAGGTTTGCATGGTTTTATTGATAGTCAAATGCAACTTTCTTGTGGACGGTAACTTTATATGAATGGTTTGAGAGGTTCTGCGAAGAATGATGGCATCATTTTGTATCTGTAAAATTTTTCAACATCCTCAACATTTTCTTGATACATACCTGATGTTCTTGATAGTTATTATTTTTGATAGCCGGACGCAGATCAGCGGCCCATTTAATCAGCATGTGCAATTTTGCCTGGCGCATGCAAAATGTGATCAACATGTTTTTAATCAAATATTCAATCGAATCCAAGTTCAAAGAATTGAATACTAAATAATCCGAAAAATGCATAACACTACTTTGGGCCAATAACATCTCCTGAAATAAAATACAAATGATAAGGGCGAGCACAGCAACCTAAATATGTGGGAGTTTTTCACTGAAAAAGTTTCAATAGCTGTAAAGTAATTTTTGGGGGGTATTTTTATTAACCTTTTTAGGTCTTGGCATATTATATCTCCTTCCTGAAGACGTTGTCTTTCAAGTTGAATGTTCATACCATTCACTTCTTCTACAATGAGGTAAGATCCAATCCACTCCACAAAATATTTAAAATTGTTCTGCGTCATGTTCTGTTCTAAGAAACAGCAATGTATCAGAACTTCCTGTCATTTGAAGTCGTTTGCAATTTTTACTGGTCCCTACTATAAAAATTTATCTTTGATCATATCAACTATTTTTATATTTTCAAGGGGGGGATTACAGAAGGTGGACTTGTGAAGTTGTGTATGTTCTGTAAGCATCGCGAAGTGATAAGAAACAACTTGACAGAAATATTTAGTGGGACATACAATGTAGACCAATCTGGTCATGCTGTCACTTCTATCAGGGAGGCCCCCTTCAATGGCAAGAGCATTGTGCTAGCTATTGTTAAGATAATCCATCACAGGGCAGTTGCTTTGTACAATAGCGTGCACAATGGTTTCTCCATTGAAGGGGGCCCTGCTAGTGCAGTGATCTCGTGCTGGGATTCATCTATAGGTTGCCATCAGATGATCCCATCTGAATCTGTATATAAGATGGGATAATCTCAATCAAGATACAGTTCCCTTTTTGTAGAAATCCAACTGAAGGATAATCCAAACTGGGATAATCCCCAGTCCTCAGGATAATCTCATTCCAAAAACAATCACATTGCCTATGGAGTACCGAAGTGAATACATCACACGCAAAATGTGTGTGTGAAAGACATTAGCGTGTGATTCAGCCCGAGAACCAACACGCGGGCGTACTCCATTCGTTTGCACTACACTTTCTGCTTCTGAATGACGTCACACTTCGGTACTCCATGGTGGATTCTCTGTCCCTTTGCCTAGACATTTTTCATCCTATCAATGACTTTGCAGAATCAGATTCCAAAGATAACAGTCCTCAACAATCAGTATTCTTTCTCATTTAGTTACATCTTGTTCGTCCTATTGCAGCACACCAATGATTTTGCTCTGTACACTGAGGCCATCAAATTCTTCAACCACCCAGAGAGCATGGTGAGAATTGCTGTCCGGACTCTAACCCTGAATGTATACAAAGGTGAGTACTTGGAAATGATTGGAGGATATAGACGAACCGGGGCATGGGATCACTGTACACTCAGGAGGCCCCCTTCAATGGAGAAACCATTGTGCAAGCTATTGTGTAAAATAACTGCCCCGTGACGGAATACTGAACAATTAGCACAATGCTTTCGCCATGGAAGGGGGAGGGCTCTGTGATAGAATTAATAGCAAACCCAGATTGGTCCGTGTATGAGCACTGTGAGGCTACTCGTAACAATCAAGTTGGGATACTCTACACTGATGGTGTCATTCACTTGTGTTACAAGGCTACTCGTATTCAAAATCTGAAGTGACACCATGATGACGTCATCAATTGATTTTTTTTATTAATTTTAAAAATTATAAAAAAATTATAACGAGGTTTTGCAGCCTGTCGCCCACTTAAGGTTAACAGCTAATTTAAGGCTAACTTAAGGCTAGCAGAACCATGAGAATGGGCCCAGATCCCATAGGCATGACAACCAACTGGTAAATTTGGAGCTAGTTTAAGGGCATGTATTGACGTACAACAATTGAAATTCTTAACCCTGCGCAGCGTTTACAAAAAATGTTTATCAGAACTCGCCAACGGTGGCCCTTTGGGCCACAGGTACTTCCCCGCACTAGGCAAGACCCTATTCATGTCAAAACAACAAAAAGCCATGTGCCAGACAGTGTCCAGGCAGTTGCCAGACAGTGCATATAAAAGATAATTGACTGGTGGCTGTGGTAAGCAGTTATGAAGGGAGATGGCTGTGTCAAGTTACAGGTGTTTGTATATGTTTCAATGAGACTTGGCAGGGAGGCCTGGTCGAAAGTTTGTTGACACGGCTTGGGTGAAGCCCTGGCTGCAAAGTTCATTGAACCAGCTGATTTGGCATGGGTTGAATGAGGATTAGATGGAAGGTGACCGTCATTGGCCCTCAATTTTTTTTTTATTCAAAAAATTCGGTCACTTGCGTACCCACGGTACGGAGGTCACTCTGCGCAGGGTTAAGAAGCTCTTCTTGTCTTGTTCTTTCAGTGAATGACAATGCCATGTTGATGTACATTCGTAACAAGACAGCGGTTCCGTACTTCTCCAACCTGGTTTGGTTCATCGGTAATCATGTCTTAGAGCTGGATAGCTGTGTCAGGAACGACATTGAGTAAGGATATATTCACACTCACCGACTGTTTGATCAAATAGATTATGTGTGATCCACCATTCCATAAAGCAGGCTTAAGTCACAAAAAAAGCTTTTCTGAATTGTTTTTTAGCTTCTGAGACTCTGAGCAAGCCATTACTGGTGAATTAATATTCAATAGACTAGTGTAGTCCAAGTGAAGTTAGTTGAACTAGATATTTAACCACATATTTTCAGCCATCAGAGTCGTAATCGCCTGTCATCCCTGGTAGCTGAGCATCTAGATCATCTGCACTACGTCAATGACATCTTGAATCTTAGGATAGAGGCACTGAATGATGTCTTGACGGACCATCTATTGAACCGACTTCTGATACCACTCTACGTTGACTCTCTGACCAAGGAGAGGTCCTTCGGCTTAGCTGTAAGTTACTTACCATTTTTTGTGCCAGATGAGGCCCTCGTGGTGATTCTTGTTCAATTTTCAGAATCCGTCGGCCTAAGTAATTTGGACACATCCTCATCTGTGAAATATGTCTTGTCCTGGGATTGGTTCAGGTCTCAGTTCTCTTATCTTTACAGTTCTGGTTTTGGTTCTTTGCTGGAACTGGTTCTAGATCTTGTGTGGTCTAGTTGAATTCTTGGTTAATCTTAGTTATATAAGATAGTTTATTGTTTCTTTCTTGTTATTAAGCTTGATGGATACCACATTGACACTAAACATTGGAGGATTTAATTTTGTTTGTTTCTTTTTCTGATAGGAGGATCCTCCCCACATCAGCTCTGTGGTCTCCCTCTTTCTGCTGTCTCAGGTAAGACCCAAAAATGAATCTCAAAATGTCTCTTGTGTCTTGAGGCAACAATCCAAGACAAAAACAACAAGATAATTTCAAGCAAATTTATTAATAAGATGGAATTAGCATCGTGGAGATGTCATGGATTTTGCCCATCCTATGACTTGACCAACCGCCTAGCTCCATGGTCGAGTGGTAAGACATAACAAAAATACCATCTTATAATATAAAATTCCATCTTATAATAAAAATAGTTACAATAATGTGGTGCTCATACAGCGTTTATACCAATGGTCTGTTAGCACTTTTATTACCCCTGTTCATCAGGCCACGAGACCATTTTTTGCAGCAGCTCGAGATCAGCGCATTCTGGTACCCATTTATACTCCTGGGTGGAGAGAGGCAATTGTAGTAAAGCATCTTTCCCAAGGACACGAGCACCATGTTCCCAGTCAGGGTTAGAACCTACGTACCACGGCATATGAGTCGATCACTATGAGCAGGAGGTAATGGGTTCGAATCCCACCTGAGTAACTTGGTTGGTGGTCCTCCGAAATATTCCATCTAGGGAATTTAAACTGGAGGTGTGGTAATTGTGAATTTGAAAAATTTAAGATCTGAGACCAGTGGGGTTTTTTAATGATTCTGAAACAAGAAATCTTTAACCAGAAAGATTGGTCCTCCATGTGCCATATAAAACTGGAAAAGTTTTTTGCCTAAGTACTTTTGCCATTTTCCCTCTGAATTATGCACATTTTCCTGGATTATTGAACAGGTGTTTCTCATTCTGGACCATCCTCCACTTGTCTCCAACCTTGCTGGGATTTTCTTCCATGGCAACGAAGCGTTTCTGGCCCAGCAACCCACGGATATCAGCGGTATTGAACAGGTGCGACTTTTGTGGGGCACATGCATTTGCTTAAATGATATTTTCTTCCTAATGGTCTTCCATTAAATTGTTTTGGATGTAAGCCTTAAACTGACAATCGACCACATATTGCTGGACATCATTGTATATCTAGAACGTTTGCTAAGTGTGGCAGTGCTTGGGGTTTTTGTCAAATACTCATATTTCACACAAACAATTATGTTAATAAAAATATGGAAGGTTGAAATGCAGCACTATAGGGTGGTCCCAATTTTTTTTATATTTTTAGAGGCGAATTTCTCACAATTGGGGAGACATGTTGAAATTGTTTTAAGATATTTCTAAATTAAAGATCTTGGTGGTATTATGATCAAAAACCAGGGCAGGAATGGAACCCGGGCCACAGCAGTGGAAGGCGAGGACAGTAACCACTGCGACAATCTGCTAAACGTACGTTGCTATACTTGGCTACCCATTGATCCCGCAGAGATTTGTTCAATTACAGAAAGCACTGCAATGAAATCAGTTAATTTAAAGGGAATGTACAACATTTGCTTTTGCTGCAGTTTTCAGAAAAAAATGGATTTGGAGGATTAGTATGTTATAGCAAATATTGTTAAACTGACTTGTTTCACGTTTTGGGCTTGTAGATGCTGGAAAAACCAAGAAAACCTATCATGTTCTTGTAGTCTGGTTCCCCTGACCCCACTTAAGATGAAAGAGAGCAATTTATAGACTTTGTAAGGTCAGAGAATCAGTCTAGCAGGCTTGTACCCCTTCACAGGTATGTAATCAGTTGCAAAGAAAATGCAGAATAACTAAATATGAAAAATTCGGAGCAGTTTTTGAAAAAAGGCCAGCGTTGGAAATATATCAATTTTCTTGAAAATGTCAGCACACAAGAAGCCAAAATTCTAAGACTGTCATTCCCTAACAATCCAGTAAGGTATTTCGTGATAATTGGATCATTTCGATTTAATTCCATTTTGGTACGCAGGTGCAGTACCGAGGCTTTGTCAAACCTCAAGAGAGTCTTGAACGCTCTCTAGAGAGCAACAGGGAGAGGGGAAGCACTCCGCAACCCAGGAAACGACCCAACTACCGCAACGTGGACTCACCGACCGACGAGGTGGAAGGAGAGGGTGGCTTCTTTGCTGACGACCATGAGACACATGAACAGGACAGGGGGCAAGACGTTGGAGAGGCGGGCAAGGAGGAGGGAAGTCCGAAGGACGAGATACAAGGTAAGGAGTAGAGTGTTTTTCTTCACATCTTCGTATGATGGATTTTGCATTGCAGAGATGTAATTCCATATTAGGTTTTGCACTAATTCGACATAATTCCATTTTTTGGCATTGGAGTAAGAGGCCTTCGGGTCATAGTTTTTAAGGTAACTTTTCTTTACTCCAGGCATGTGCCACTAGTTTATTTTATTGAATGTTGTTTGTATTGTCTGTATTTTATTGTATTGTCATGCCGAATAAAATAATAATAATAATAATAATAATAAGCACTCTGCGCTGGCCAAGAGCCTGCAGGAAAAATTCTAAAAACTTGGGTGATACTCAGACCCGCAGTCTCCTGTTCTTGTCCGTTAACTTTGTTGGTTCAAGTGCCACACAAATGACTTGTGAATTTTTTTCGAAAGCACTTGAACAGGTCAAAACTGCTTTTTTTTTTGACGAAACAGGTTTTAGGGTCATTGCGTTTAAATGCACAGTGGTTTAAGACCCAGACATTTCCAAAAAAAAAAATTCTGAATATTATGCTAAAAAATAGTTTAGTTGTATCTAATGAGTAAATCTGTAGCGGATAAAAATATTTTTCCAACTTATTTGCTGCATATTTCACTTAAGTACACAGCTACACAAAACTAGAAGACGGTTAGAATTATTACAGTAGGTACTTTGGGAAACGAAAAAAAGTGTTTTTCTATGCCGAAATTATATTTTCAGATTAAAAGCTGTGCATCATCTTGTAGCTTGTTTCGTACCCTTTCCACTCATATAAAATTTGTTATGAAAAATGTTTCATAAAGTGCAGAAATTCAGGGATTTACTTACGCTAAATTATGTAGAAATATTCCCCCAAAAACAAGACGTGTTCGCTGATACATTTTTACAATCGGCCGAAAACGGCCAGAATAAAATTGTCTAATTTCTTCAGAAATCGGTCGACTGATTACTCGGCTTCAAATAAAATCGACCGGAAAAGTCGCGCAATGCATCGTTGTGCCGAAAAAAAATTCAGTTTTGTAAGCAGTCACTAGCTGGGAGTACGTGAAACGCTGTCATGGCCGGCGAAGTGAACAGCGCCCTCTTTTGTTGAGATTTTTTTAGCGTACCGCATGTCGCTGCATCGCCGGGCTCAGTGTCGTCGCTTGTGGACTTCTGACATTGTTTACGGAGGTTAGTGGTTATCTCAGGGCTTGAAAGTCAGCTCGGCTGGGATTTATAGTTGAAGAAATTTAGCTGTTCATGGTTTTCTTTGTCATGGGAAATGTAGATAGAATCAGAGATGAAGAGACTTTATCATCATTTTTTTTTACAACTTTTTGGTGTAGGCCCACACTAGGCGCGGTCAGCGAAACGACATCATTTCCTGCAGTCTGTGCTTGTTTTTAGGCCTGGCAAGGCCGAATATGATAAGAGTGTTTTGCAAACCGCTTGGCGCTAGGCCAAGCAGGGTATCGTATTAGAACTCAGCTCTTTGCTTGTGGAATATAAAATGTTTGAACAAGTTTGTGTAGTTTTATTTTTAGGGGTTACTGACTTTTTTCACAAAATATCCTGAGAAGTAAATAATACTAAAAAAAACCCCATCAGCCTCTCAAATTGTGTTTGTCATTGCAGAGAGAATCATGGCAGAAACTTTGTCCTTTTCAAACCGGGAAATACTTGAAAAGTACTTGAAGGGAAAATGGGTTGGGCGGAAGAGGCCAAGTTACGTTGGGATTGCAAGGGAAATAATCCAAGACTATGACCTTGCGGAAACCGAACACACTGAAGAAAAAATCACACGACGAATTCGGAAGCTTCGCCAAGAATGGAAAAACAAATTGAAAGGGACTGGACGTTCACAGGGGAAAGAGCAACTCGAAGAAATGTTGGATGAGCCTTTCTTGAAAGTCACCCCAAAAGACAAGGAAAAACTGATGGTGGACACATCGTCACTGACTGTGGTAGAGGCTCTCAATCTTTCATCTGTGTCATCGTTGGGGTCACCAGACAACCGTAGAGACCAAGAAACTCAGTGTGACCGTCCAAATTTGGCTCCCCTTGACGAAGTAGGTCCACGGCAGCGGTTTCGAAGGACAAACTCCTTATTACACGATTTGCGTGAGGAAGCTGAAGAAAATGGAATATCTGCAACTCAGCTTATGGGATATTTGCTGCATAAAGAAAACTATATCAGCAACAGGAAAACAGCGGATGTTGGGTTGAAGCTTTTCAACAAGTCGTTGGTTGATAAGGAGATGTCTGTTGACAAAGGACTTTACATTTTGTCTTCATACAATATCGGAAGGACGGGGTACACTAATCTCAGACGTGATTTAAATGAACACGTGACACTCCCAGCCCACTACAAGTTGATGGAAAAGAAGAATTCTATCACTCCTGAACTGAAGCCTTATAGCATTGATGACAACGAAGGTATCACAGCTTCTCTTAAAGAATCATGCAGCATACATGTGAAAAGACTAATAGAAGCTCATCCAGAAATTGAACCAGGACAGTATAGAGTTCTCTGCAAAGACGGACTTGATGGATCGGGGCGCCATTCCATTTACCACCAGAAAGGACAGGCTCAGACATATAGCATGATATTATATATGTGGATACTGCTGGAAGTCATCAAAGAAGCTGGTTCATCTGGAGAAAGTTCATCTGGAGAGGGGTCATCCCAAGCATCAGGTACATTCATTATATCTATTGAACTAAATGTAGGCCTATGTTTGTTTATTTCAAGTACACATTTTAAAGTTAACCGAGTAGAGTTGTTTAAATTTGTTTCACTTTCTGTAACGTACATTTATAAAGAATACACTAATTGATTTTAAATTCATAATTTTTTCAACACCTGCAGGATTGACCGTGTGGAAGGAAAGCGCAGCGAATAGTCCAGAGGCTGCTGTTCCCCTATTCCTCGTGAAGGGCAAAGAAGATAGAGAGCTCCTAAAATCAATCATACCTCCGATTGAAGCAGAAAAAACAGCTCTGTCAACTACTGGAATTGAGATCAACATCTCTGGTGCATCATATCACTTCAGATTTGAATTTAATTTGACAATGGTAGATGGAAAAATGGTGAAGCTCCTGACAGGAAGGGGAGGAGCCTACTGTATCCTGTGCCCTGCGTCCAGAGATGAATGTCATAATCTTGATCGTATTGATGAGGGCTTCCCAATTGGGGAAGTTAGTAATGAGGATCTGCGAAAACTTTACCAGGATCTCCAAGACGAGGGGGAAATTAAGCCAAAACCTGGTGATTATGCTGAACGACGGGGACTTACCCAGAAACCCATAACAACATGTGACATTAAGGTCTTTCCTATCCTCCATGCTACTCTGCGTACAATGGATTGGACTCTAAAGGTCATCTACCACTTAAGTGCTGGTGTAAGGACCTGGAAGGAAAACCTGCAAAATGAAGCTAAAATCAAAAGGGCTAAAGACAACGTGAGGGCCTCCGTATACGAACGAACTGGAATACGAGTGGACGAGCCCGACCCCGTAGGCAAAGGCGGAACCTCGACGACAGGTCCAATGAGCAAGCGTTTGCTCCATGATATTCCCATACGCCAAGCTCTGATCGACTGCGTCCCGGACAGGGGTAAAGACAGGACACAATTTGGCCAGATCGTCAAAAACATGTCAGTTATTCTGCGTCTAGTCTCGTGCTCAGACTTTGTAAATTCAGATAAGCTTGATGCACTTTGCAAGGATACAAGCCGAGTGTTTCTCGAACAGTTCCCTAGCTTCAAATTTACCCCCTCCGTTCACCAGGTTCTAGCCCATAGTTCAGAGCTAATTGCAGGCAACAAGAGCCGCGGCTTGGGAACACTGTCTGAAGAGGCCCTGGAGAACAACAACAAAAATATCCGCAGGTATCGAGAACATTTGTCTCGCAAAACCACACAAGAGGACAATTTGACTGATGTTTTTCATCGTCTCTGGCTGAAATCAGACCCAGTCGTGCGCTCGTTTCGTCACATCAAGAAATGTACATACTGTGACGGCGATCATCACGTGCGATCTTGTCCCAAGAAATCAGCAGATTTTGGAGTACACGTTGAGGACGAGCTGTTCAGTTCCTTTCTTGTCTAGATTAAACCATTTCCGAACAGGTAAGTTTAACGCTTCCCAGAGAAACGATCAAGAGGATGCCACTGTCGATGTTCATCCACTGTGTTTCAATCAATACATGGTTTTTGCGTTTTATTTTTTATACCAAAAAGAAACAAGGTGTTCACAATTTTAAAAATCTGAGACTAGACAAGAACATCACTTTATTAAAATCATACCTCTCAGATTTAGCATTTGTTTTCTTTTTGTCACTTCCTTTTCCACTCATTCCCTGTACTATTATATTGAAATTAAAAGTATTAAAATAAAACTGCCTTTGTATAATGCACGAAAATTTCTATTTTATTATCGCAGCGGTGCGGTACGGCGCGGCGCGGCCATGGTGCTCTGTCTTTGCAAAAATTAAATAATTGTCAACAGAGGGCGCTATCGTTGAAGCGCGCTCCCTCGAAGCGATCCTAGCAAAGACGTCTTTCTGCGGCCGAATTGAGAACCCATGACGCTCAGGAAGACTCTAAATCAGTTCTAAATACTTGCTAAATTGTTATATTGATTGTACATGAACATAACTACACTGTTTTTGCTGATGTCTGGGTCAGGTAGGGTTTTAAACCACTGTGAAATGGTGATATTCTTTGAACGGATTGCGCAATTTCAGTAATTTTTTCATCAAAAAGTAGCTTATGAAATTGGCTTTCCAGTCCTTATTGTGTTTGGTGCTACATGTTTTTAAAATATGAAGTATCTTTCTTGGGGTTTGGGTTCCGCTTTTCTTTACTCACCCTGTAGCTCATTTGACCAGATGTTAAGATGTTTACTCTAAAAAGCAGGAGGTTGCAGGTTTGAGTCCCACCTGAGAATACATTGTAAATTTTAAAGTGAGCAAACAACAAGGATTAGTTTTCAGTCGTCTAATGTTAGATGTATTTTTTATTTGTTTTTCTTTATTCAAGACCCTGGAGACAAACCTGTGGCTATAGCCAGCGTTGATGAGATCCAGTCCCCGGCAGGAATGAACTGTACAGATGAAGAGAAGACGTCAGCGGTGTACGAGGCCAGGCAGTCAGAGTTACAGCTGTCTAGAAGGTTGGTCAAGTCACAGTCTTCTAAAATTGTTATCAGGTCTGCACACGTCAATCACGGGACACTTTACATATTCAATGGAATTGTGGCAAATGCATTAATTTGTTGATGTTGAACCCATGTAATTTGTGGCCTTACTTAGTGACTGACTTGTGATTGACTTGATTGCAACTTTGCAGATCTTGTTCAAGGAAGGAACTTGGGGGGAAAATGCCAGATTTTCATAAAATTGGGTGTGCAAATGGACACATCCATTCCTAAAGTAAACATGTAAAGTTTAAGATCCCAAATTATAAATTTGACATTTTGTACAAACCGGTGTCGAGACAAAATGCGGCAGAGATTTTGGAGGGAAAAAAATAAACAGGAGGGTGGCAGATTCCACCCCTCCCAACCCTTTTACAGTTCGAGGGAGTACGGTTAAAAACAGTGGAGGTTTTGTTTCATGGAAATCACAAGTTGGCTTTTGTGTTTGACATTTTAGACCGTACCTGCAAGCCATCATCAATGCATTGGATGCCAGTACAGGAGACTACCGGACACTGATATCACTGTGTTTGCTGTATGCCATGGGAACCAATGAAGGTATGTGTGTTATGATGGATTGCAGCTTCTAAAACTGCTGCTTCTTCCTTTTCTTGATTTTGACAATACTGATGGTGATAATTATGATTGTGATTTTGACAGAGTTGTAATCACATCATAAGTCGGTCACAAGTCAATCACCAGTATTCACTAGTCGGTCACAAGTCAATCACCAGTCTTCACAAATCAATTACAAGTCAATCACAAGTCAGTTTTAAATCAATCACAAGTCAGTCACAAGTCAATCACAAGTCAATCACAAGTCTTCACAAGTCAATCACAAGTCAATTACTAATCAATCAAAAGTCTATCACAAATCCATCACAAGTCAATCACAAATAATCACAAGTCGGTCAAATGTTGATCATAAATCAATCACATGCCAACTCAAAATGTAAATCTTCAACAATTTAAAATCAGGCTTTTTATAAAGCATGCATTCTCTGGCCTGATTTGTGTTTCACAAATTCATTGACTGTGGACGAATGTGATGCGATCAAGCTAAATGAGTCGTTTGTCGACACTGGTAAAAAAAATTTACAGATTTGAAAAGAGCACAATCTCAGCATTACTGCTGTGAAAACTGCATGCTGAATCGTGGAAGTCGGAACACTAAGAGATGTGATGAAGTGATGTGATGAAGTGGCCCTGTTTTGGTCTGAATTTCCAAAAGAAAGGTCCTAACAAACGACTCATTTATCTTGATCGCATCACAAATGTAGACCAATATTGACATAGAATCACAGTCCACACTTGGAGCCCCCCAATAATGGCAGACGCATTATGCCAGCTATTGTTCAGAGAAACTGCTCTGTGATGGTTGGTCTGAGCAGTAACTGGTTAGGCAGTTTGATACTCCATGAGTGTACATTGTTAACTATTATTTCTCATTGCAGGTATTAAACAAGACCTGTTGGTCAGTGTGTGCTTAACAACTAGATCAGAGGTGAGAAATAAACACGTCTGAAAATAAACTATTTAGATTGCCATTCCAGTGCGCGACCAACTAAGCTATCCAGCCCTATGTTGGTGTTTCCCAGTTTTGTCAATGTCTGTGTTCTAGAGACGCTAGTCAGAAAATAAGGGAATTCACAAAATACCACAAAGCATCAAATAGGTTTTTAACCCCCTTGGCTCTTTTGGCTAGGATAACCATCCTCAATCCTGCAAAATCCTCAAATTGCCACCATGTTAAAATTGGATTCAACCTCAATTCTCCAAAATCATCTGTTATTTAACAATTTGTTCAGTGGAGGGGTGACCATTGTCTCAATCCTTCAAAATCCTCCAACAATCACTCTAATAGGTTAATAGCATAATGCAGGGCTCAATTATGCATGGCTGAACATAACAATGCTGGGTACAAAACTCCGCACAATGCATCCTCCAAAATCAACCAAAACTTTTTGGCCATTCAGCCAAAATCCTCCAAAACTGCCTTGAGGATATTTGAGGATTGAGGACAGTTAGGTACTTCTGTTAACAGCATCTTAAGATTGGACATCTGTAAGAACAGTCAACATTCTCACCCAATTTTTAAAAGCTGAACAAAGAAATTGAGTGGGGTTTGAACCTGCGACCTCCGGATTGCCGTTCCGGTGCTCTACCAACTGAGCTATCCAGCCCTTTGATGGCGGTTCCCCATTTTGTCAATGTCTTTGTTTAATTAGTAATGCTGCAAACCTGGGAAATAGCAAATGGGGATCACTCAGAGAGGATATTGCTTTTTATTACAAATTTTAAAGAAACCACAAAGAGTAAAACTTAGTCAAATGTAGTGTTATAGTAACATGTATTTTTCTGACTGTAACCATTCATTTGACAGTGAAAACAAATTAATTTTTCTGTCTGTTACAGGACAAGACCAGTTACAGCAGAGTCTTAGTTAACTGCCTAATTGCTATCATAGGCCATAGTTGCCAATTCAACAGTCGGATCCGTCCAGTAACCTTGGAGATGTCTAGTCTCCTCCTCAAGCAGCTCGTGTATTCATCAGAGACCAACCGCTGTTTCCTTGAGGACAAGCATCTAGCAAGCATTGAGGTTAGTTATCCTCTTTGTGAAATGTCTGCCTCAAGATTGTTTCCTTCGACCGCACTGATCGTGATGGTGTACTCAAGACTGACAATCTTGCTGTGTGGCCAAAGAAACTCATCTTCAGCTTTTTGATGAAGTGTAGCAGTCAACAGGTTCGGCCGGCCTTGTGCAAGACTCATCAGTTGTTTTTTTGGCCCTTTTATGCAACTTGGGGGTGTGGGGAGTGTGGCCTAGTGGTTAGGGTTGGTGACTCATGATCAAAGGGTCAGGGGTTCAAATCCAGCTGCTGGCCATATGTTGTGTCCTTGGGCAAGCCACTTCATCCCCACTTGCCTCTCTCCACCCAGGAGTATAAATGGGTGTTCCCCGGCATTAGCTGGGGAGTAACCTGCGATGGACTAGCATCCCATCCAGGGGGAGTAGAAATATTCTCAGTTGTTTCATGCTACTGAAACCAGAGATAAACGCTGGCCTGATGGGCCACATTGGCTCGTGACAGACTTTACGTATGAAACTTAAAGCATCCTATATGCCCATGTGGAAATATTGTTAAATCATCTAACCCTGCTCAGTCCAGCAGGATCCAAGTATTTTACATTTCCATTGGATCCTGTTGGATTGAGCAGTGAACGTCTTGTATATATTCCTGTTAAAATCTGTTGGATTCAGCAGGCAACTGATAACATTCAGAGTCGGATTCTGTTGGGTACTGGTAAATAATGCCAAGTTGGACTCTGTTGGATTCAGTAGGAAACAGACAAATATAAGGCACAGATGGATTCTGTTGGATTGAGCATGCCAGTCATTTTATATTTTCACTTGGCATGTTGGATTGTGTTGGATTGAGCAGGAAACTCATATGAGTAAACGTTGGACTCTGTTGGATTTAGCACGGGAGTCTTTGGGAACTACATGTATAAGGGGGTTAGGGTTAAATAAATAAATGTGTCAGTTTGTTCATTTCTATATTTCCTAGGGAGCCAAGGAGGAGAGTATGTTGCTTCTACGAAACTTCTACCGAGGCGATGAACTCTTTCTGGACATGTTTGATGACGAGTATCAGAGCATGATGGTAAGTACCAACAACTCACGGAAATTACTCGCAAATACAAGTTGTATAAAACTAAAAGAATTACATTTATGTGGAGCGTTGTGGTCCAGTGGTAACCGTGTTCGATTCGTGTGTCTTAGTACGTCGGTAAACTTTTAAACTTGAACCCTGACAGGGAATGTGGTATTTGTGTTTTTGGGCAAGACACTCTACTACAATTGCCCCTCTCCACCTATGAGTATGACTGCGAACCTGTGAATGCGTACTTGTGAAAAGTTAACATTCAATTTCATTTTCCAGTTTTCCAGTTTTCCAGTTGTAATTTTTGTCTTAACCTATTTCAGACGAGACCCCTCAATGTGGAATACTTGATGATGGATGAATCTATAATACTTCCTCCCACTGGAACGCCACTCACTGGTATTGATTTTATCAAGCGTCTCCCCTCTGGAGAATTGGAGAGAACCAGAAGGGTGAGTAAACACCTGTTTCACAGTAGATACATGTTGTTAATTGTAGTAAACTTAAGAGTTCCCCACATTGCTTAATTGGGTTTTTTTTTACACCATCTACTTCAAACTGTATCAGAAGGTGGTGACAATCGGCCAATGGAGTACCGAAGTGTGACGTCATTTAGAACCAGAAAGTGTAGTGCAACGAATGGAGTACGCGCGCGTGTTGGTTCACGGGCTGAATCACGTGCTAATGTCTTTTGCACACATTTTGTGCGCGTGACGTATTCACTTCGGTGCTCCATAACGTGAGACCAGAACATTGTTACAAGGTGTACATATTCACAAGCCAAATGCACTTCTTTTGTTGGTTCATGTCAGGAAAGCAGAAGTAGCTAATACTATTTTGCAGTACCGGGTAATTTGTACCCCAAGTTTAGATCCTAGACTCTAAATATGCAACGGTAGGGACCGCACGTCAGATGTAGGCGGAACCACTCTAAAAGCGTTCATGACAGACAAATTACATACATTCAAGTTTCTGAAAATTGAGCTAAGTATGCAAAATGTGTGTTAAAACAAATGCAAATTTCAGGCAAGTAGTAGGAAATTACATGTGCCGCATAGTTGGCTGATTTTAACTTCCTCCATCTACTTTGCTTCACGTCAGAAGGCAGTCAAAATCAACACAATCTCACAACTTCCTCTCAAACAATGTTATTTTATTTGTAAACCATTCTTCTATGTGTCTACCCCTACAGGCCATCCGCGTGTTCTTCCTTCTTCGCAATCTGTCACTGACCCTCCGTCATGAGCCGGAGACCAAGCTACCCCTAGCCAGCCAAGACCAGATAGTCAAAGCATCTGACAAACTGGACCTGAGTAAGTAACTTCCTAACAACTTCCTTCCAGCATCAAAGTTAACTGTACAGCTTTTCCTGTTTGTATCTATGAATAGTTACTCATAAATAGTAGATTGGGCTTTTATATCACTTTGCAACCCCCAGCTGGAGCGACACACCATGTGTGCCAGTGGCATAGCCAAGGGGGGTTTGGGGATGCTGCCCCCTCCCCCCAAATTCCAAGTGCCCTCAAGATTCCTCCCCCTCCCCCCCTTCCCCCACCTCCCCCGACAAAAAAAATCCCAAAATTGCCCCTCGCCCAAGTGTCATTTTTAAATGAATTGACCAAAAGGGGAATGTAGACGAATAGTTTTAACTTGATTCTAATTCCCTTCACCCCACAAATTTACGAAATAAAAAGCTGGTGCTGCCCCCTGAGCCCCACACTGAAAAAAACTCCTGGCTATGCCACTGGCATGAGTAGGCAACACTTAGTTTTATTCAGAGTTTGCATAAACAATTTGCGTCTTTGTGCGAGTATCTGACGTGATGGGCAATGCGTACTTTTTCTCAAAATCCATATGCAGTCTCTAAAAGTTCTCCTGCAGTAGACTGATCAGTGAAGCCCAATCCCGCGATGTTTTGACCAATCACAGTTGTTTCTGCGAAACCGAATCTCTGACATCCGTCTGACATTGTATAGTTACGCAAAACCAGTGCATCGTAATGTAAAGCAGGGTGCCAGGATCAAGCAGACTAGTGATGACATTTTGCCCAGCGTTTGACTTCAGACCTCACAAGTCCATTACAAGTCATCAAGACCCACATCAACTAACAATCTATGTAAATGAACCGTGGCAAAGGCCGAAAAACAAGTTCTGACTTGAAGCAGAGAAACATTGTCAAATCATTCAAAGGGTAATAAGTGTCAGATGAATAATTAAAAAAAAACAAGAAAAGGAAGTTGTTTAATGTTACATCCTCAGCTGTTTTTGGAAATTCCAGCGATTATAAATAACCTGGATGGGTCTAAACGACCGCGGAAATCCTGCCTCATAAAAACCTGCACTTTTTCCTTGACTTTTGTTTTGTGTGGTACTTTCCAAACGTGTTGCATTACAAGGCTGTGCTGGAATTTCCAGTTATAAATTTGAGTGGGTGTTAGATTCTGGACTGAGAGTGTGAAAGGTAATATACAACACTTGCAAACATCAAGTACTAAAACTAGCAAATTATTATGAAATACCTTTAGTGAATAATAGTCTTAAGCATCCTGTGAAATCATGGCACCTGGTGTGCTCTCATTTTCAAGAAAAATAGATTTGTTTGTATCAATTTCCAACGGATAAAACCTGACTGTTTTCAAATAGTGCCCCCAATTTACCAAATTTAGTTAGTCCACATTTTGTTTGCAATCAGTTAGGCCAAAAAAAAGTCTCTGGTTTCTGGTATGGATCTTGCCCAAAAAGTGGTGCGGCGACGCGGCTTTTTTTTTTTTTTTTTACCTGATTTTTTGGCTATAAATGTTGGCTGATGACTGCAAATGGTGCCCGACTAAACTTAGTGCAAATATATGGGAGTCCAGAGAGGCCACATAAAGCTTATTCTCGACAATAACCCAATCTAAAAACACGTTAAAATTGTGCAGCAGCAGGATTCCAGTCAAACCAGTGAGTTTGGCGGTTTTGAGACATCATCTTTCATTGAAAAAAAAACTTTCTCATTTTGCCGACGCGCATGGCTACGGCGACGCGCGCGCATACCAGAAACCGGAGACTTTTTTTATTTGGCCTTACACATCCGTGAATGGGTGCAAGCCAGCTAGTCTGGTTCCCTGACCTAACAATTGCCCGACTTGTATAAATTGCTCTGTTTTGTATGAAGTTGGGTCAGGGAACCAGACTATAAGAACAGCAATTTTGTTGGCGGTTTTTCCAGCATCTATGAACACAAAACTTTAAACAGGTCAGTGTAACAATATTTGCCATAAAATACTAGCCCCTGAATCCTTTCATTTCTGAAAATTACAGCAAAAGCAAATGTTGTATATTACGTTGTATCTTAAAATAGGGGATGTCTAACTTGCCAGTCCATATAATACTCCACCCAATAATGACTTGATGAATTACAGTTATTGCACTACCACTAAAAAAGAAAAGGTAAAGTGGACGAACCTGTGTTAAGACGAACGGAGTGTTCATCTCTCTTTCGTTAGCAATTGGGCCAGACTCATGGATGCTGCTGGGGGGGGGGGGGGGGGGTCACCACACCTCCTCCACAGCAAGTCTGTTACCTTCCCAGCATTGAATAATGCCGGTACCCATTTAACACCTGGGTTGAGAGGAGTAATTGAGGTGAAGCGCCTTACTCAAGGGCACAACACGCATGGCCACGACAGGGGCTCGAACCCACAACCTCACAATCGTGAATCCTGTGCTCCACTGCTAGACCACACGTACCCACACTACCAACTATTGGGACTGTAATGTTATATTTTCGATCATCCACTGAATATCGCAAAAGTTGAATATTTAAATAATGTGAACTGTCTGGAGAAGATGCAAGCAGAAAGTCTGTTATGTTATTTCAATCGTCTCAATTTGACTGTTTTATTGTTTAACAAATACCACATGTTGTCAACGTTCACTTTTGGTGGTTGTTTTGATGCACTCATTACCCAATCAGCCGCCCATCTTCATCAAAAAGATGGCAGAATTCAACGTTACCCACAACATAAAAAGACAATTGCTATTGTCTTTTGTTGTTTGTTGTTCCATTGTTCTGCGAATGGTATCTAATTTCAACCTGTGCGCATGCATGTCCCTGATACCAAATTCAGCTCCTGTGGTTTATTCCTTTTCCTCCACAGTGCAGCCACACTGAAATCAAATACCACATGTATACTCAGAAGATTTTATCACCCGGTATCCTGTATAAAATTTAATCTACATCCTTGCTATTTTGAAAAGCCTTGAGTTTTTTTAACCACAGGTTGACCTCTTGTTTAACCCTAACTCTCTACTTAGTTGAACTTTTACCAAGTAGAAGACCATGTCTGTCGAAATCCATCACTGACTCTGCTTCACATAATGCTTCAGGACCAAATCCGTTGACATCCACCACTGGTGCTGGTGGATTTTGATGGACTTGGTATATTACATGGCTTATCTGCCAAAATGCCCCAGATGAGGGGGGGGGGGGTAGATTTTGATGGAATTGGTAAGGGTAGGGTTAAGCCAAAGACCTTTCTTTCTTTCTTTCTTTCATTTATTTTTGGGAGGGGTTGGAATTTTTGGAATTTGTTTTTTCCTATCTAATGGGACCCAAACCACCACTGCAATTAGCACAAAGTATGCCGACACCATTTTTTTTTCACCACATATAAACTCCATGATAGCCAGTCATTACAAATTAGTTTAAAAAGAAAAATTCTGAATTTTGAATTGAGCAAACTTTCCAATTTCCCACTTTCCTGGACTCCCGATGGACTTTGTACACAACCACCAAAGTGTGGCTGTGATACTACAGCATTCAACACTCGGTTTTGTACCAAACTTGACTCCAATTCCAACCAATCAAGAGTCCAATTTCTTGGCTCCACTTACTTCCCTGACTTGAAGAAGCTCCCCAGGGTTAAGATTTGTTAGGAGTTTCCTGATTTCAGGAATTTTTGAAAAATCTCCTTTGAAATCCAGAATTTGTGAGAGTTTCAGATTTTGTGAGAGTAAAGATCTTGTACGTTCATATGAAGGTCTAGGTATCAGGCATGCAAATTTTACTCGGATGAGCTGATTTCCCCATTTTTCACTTCAACCTTACCGGTATGCCATTAAAAATTGGAAAACACCGTATAAAGTCTTGTAAAGCTTGGAATTTCCCATTACTTTTGTAAATTCCCAGTTGCATGCCTGATATATAGAACAAAGGAATTGGTATTTTAAGGGATGCCATTAAAAGGTAAACGAATATAGGCATGTACCTTAGACCCTATGTTGCTCTGGGGCCATCAGCGACCCAAAACACTCTGCAGATCATTTTGTGGCTATTTAATCCCCCCCCCCCTCCAATCTCACCCATGTCTCAACTTAGACAACGCTAAACTGGGAGACTGCTAATAGATGGCTGAATAACTCAGTGGAGTGCTGGTCCCATGTCCTAAAGGGTGCTGGTTCAAGTCCCACTCGTGTCAGTTTCTTGGATAAATTTGAGATTGATTTAAAGTGAGCCAGTGTGGATTTTAAAAGATTAAGTATAGGTTGCATGCTTTGCTCAATCAAATCCTTTGCACTATATCGACGATCAAAAATTGGTTGCACAAGCTATTGTTGTGGGAATATGAATAATATTGTATAATTTAAGTTCCAGAGCTCTTTCAGTAAAGTACAAAATTAGCATTCTGCATTTTTATCATTTACTGGAAATTCAGAGCTACCAGTTTGCCAACATTTATGTAGTGGACTTTTTGGGCAGTCCCAGGCTTTGAAATCGACCAGGAACACTGACTCTCTTGACTGCACTCCAATAGATGAACAAATAAATGAAAGAATGTTTCTGACAATGTAGTTGTTATCAGCGCTCCCTTTTTTGTGTCTCAAATTTCTCAGAGGAATGTCTGAGCACTGGGGAAATTCCCGCAGAATTCTTTGCAGTATTAATAAATTGTTTTCATCATAAATATTTTTTCACAAAAAAACTTGCCAGCTGGTTCACAGTACCGTGTCGCAACTTGACCTGTTACCTTTTTTCCTTTGCTTTGAGATCCTGCCTGTTTGTTCGGGGAAAGCGGCGACAGCCACGTGTGTGTATCATGAATGATGAATGGCCGTTAGTTGTGCACGTACATTCACCCTTAAGGAGACACGTGCCATCAAATATACTTGTACATGTACCTGCATACTTAATTGCCCGCAAATCCCCAACAAGTTTCCTGTGAAACTAAATATAAAAATAAATTTAAAAAAACCACAAATCTTTGTGGTTGCTATTGCACAGACCACGTGAACAAATACCTGGAAAAACTGGATGTGTAATGTGGCACAC